GACCGACGACAGAACACACGCTGCTGACGGACACAGAAGACCAAGCTGCCGGGTACACAGAAGACAACGCTGATGTACAAGCAGAACTAGTAACAATAAAGTACTATCTCCTATCCTGTTCAGTCTTCTCTTCCTAACACGTAACTGGGGGACATAACCGGTGTTGACACAAGAACACACAAGGTTATAACTGACAGGATGTATGGTCCAACTCAGAAAACGGGAGGCAAGAAACTCTAGAACACGAGAATGGTCGTAATAGGAGTTTTATAGTTGGGTTGTACGTAAGTGACGCATAATTGTTTCCGGAAAGCCAACGATAAACAACATTAATGTTACACAATAAGCTTGTTTAAATACCTTAATAATCCGCAACAAGATAAACGTGTAATTTGAGATGCTGAAAATGATCAACTAAAAACAGGTGAAAAAATAAAATCCCGGACATTAGTTAGATACTCCAGGCAAACTTATCACATCCTACAATGGTCAAACAAATTGAATAGGGGTTGTGAGAAGAATATTTCTTAACGACTGACTTCCGTGAGTATCGCGAATAAAGATATAAGTGAAGCTGACAGCATCTATAGCCCAACCTGTAACTGTTAACCTATGTCTCAAGTCTGACCCTAATCCTAACAGTAATCTCAACCTCTAACACAACCTATCACCCTAATCTATAAGTCTAAGCCGAGCACTAACCCCCAAAGGTAATAATGGAGGCGAAAAAGGGGGTTAGCCTAAGCCTATTCCGGCAGGGGTTTCCTTGTTAGCACACGAATGTTCTTATTTATATTAACATGCGTACTCAATGAATTTCAGTTAGGGTTAGGGTAAGGATTAGGGTAAGGGTGGGATTGTGATATCGTATGTAAAAAGCCCCAAGTTTCTGTCTTACGGGAAGTGTGGGAGTAGGCATGTTAATATAAATAAGAACATTCGTGCGCTACGAAGGAAAGCCCTGCCGCCTATTCAAACGATACAAGGAGAGATTGCTTATAAATAAAGACTAGGTGCGGCCACACATACGATCGTTATAGACAACCATCACTAACCGAGGTGATTTCAGCAAAAGCTGAGGACTGTTGATCAAGCAGCTGATAAAAATCAGTATCGGAGGGTGGAGTTTGCGTCAGTGGGGCTTCAGTTGATTCCGGTTTGGGTGCTGGCTGCGGGTCTGCCCTGGAGTCACGAGTCTGCACAAGAGGATCTGGCTGTCTGTTAGACCAGGCATCTGGAGAGGAGAGCTTGGCGTTCGGTTGCACTATCAGGGCTGGTTTGGAGAAGTCAGCGGTGCAGAGGAGGACCTGAAATGGACGAAGATTGGGTAGAGGGCTTTACTGGCGGCAATAGATAGATGCTGTACTTGCCTAGGCACGCAAGTACACAGAAACGATAAACAGAAAGAAGCTCTGCAATATCAACAAGCAGCAGCAGCGGCAGCAGCAGCAGCAGCAGCAGCAGCAGCAGCAGTTCGAGACAAAAAGGTCAGACTAAATTCTTACATCGAAAAAGAGGGGGAGCCAAAAACCGTCCTTGAAATGCGCCTCGTCCCACGAGTTGGAGACGAGGAGAAAGAGGAGACGAACAAGAAGGTCACTCTTGACAACGGGGGTTGGACTCGACATGACGACCTCAGTGACACCGGTTGCATCCGCGGTGGATTCGGCCTTGGGAGAGCCTGGCGTCGTCTCTGTCGTCTCTACGGTCTCCCCAAACAGGGGCAAGGCAATGAGGTTGGAGCCGGTGAGGTAGAGATCGATAAATTTCTCTCGCAGGTCCGGCAGGGGTGTCAAAAGACTGCAGCAGAAGGCTTGCTCCAGTTTAACCATTATGTCATGGTTCTTCGGGGAGTTGTTGGAGAAGACCTGATTTAAGGAAGACCGACAGGATGTAAGAGCCGCCCCTTGTGCGATAATAACTACACTAATTTGCTATTCTGAAAACAAAGAGCCATGAAGTTAGCATTCTGCTCATGACTCACATAAGAGGTTAGACAATGCACTTAACAATTATAGTGAAGATCAGGGAAGCTAATACTTTATTAAAATGCTCCCAAATTTCTTACAGCTAAGCGGGTTTCGGGTAGCAAGGATTATTTAAGTAGGGTGAAAATATTTGAGGGGCGTGGAAAATACTTTAGTCACGCCAGGATGCCAGTTTTTTAATCGGTTGCTTACAAAAAACCATACACTCTTGTACTTTCAAAAAGTGTTTTATAGAAAACATGCATAAAATGTTACAACATGTGTCTACTTTATAGCTCAAGCTATGACTTTGTAAAATTTCATACTCTAAAAGGGACATCATTCGGTTTAAAAGTTCTTAATTATGCGACTTGTAATACCGCTAAATGTTCATCCATCTGTCCATTTATTAATACTGCTTACGAAGTAAAAAGCATAGTCTACATATATTGCAAAATGCCCAACATGATTTCCTTTTAAAAGCATAGAAAAATACTTTATCTTTACTACACGGGAAAGATACAGCATACATTTTGGAAACCCTTAGCGCAAGAAAAACCGTACGTCCGATCAAAAACTACTTTGGGATAGAAACCATTTTTAAACCTAAAATAGCCCTCCCGTAAGTATAAAATCTGAAATTTGCGCAAGTTGGTGCCAAATGTGTACAGGAAATAATATGCGTGTGTAAGTTTTCTATAAAACATATTTGAATATATAGGGGCATCAAAAAGCAATGGAGGAAATTCGTACAACCTAAGAAGTATTGATTGGCGAGTGGTTTACGTGGGCGGTTAAAAAGCCCTTCTATATATCCATAAATTTCGAGAGGGCTCTTCAGTTGCCACCCCTCATTGCATAACG